GGATGCTGCACGGAGCAAAAAGCACACAATGCCTGTTAAAGCTCTTTGCAAATTAAAGACCAGTAACTGCGCAACATAGCATAACTACAAATCCATGCCAAACTCGGCATTCTGCAGCTGGGGAGGTGACTGAAGGGACCGGCCATCCCAGTGGTGTCAGCTTCTCACACCATGCCAGCCAAGGCTTTGTTACCAGGAAACACCTGCATTTGCAAATCTAAGAATTAGGGATTTAATTAAACGATTGGGCAATCCTATATTAATCACATACTATCAGCCGGATATACTGCTCTCTGTGGTAGATGATGCAAAACAAATTACATATAACCCTCAGTGATGATCCCATCATCTCCTTTATTATAAAGAAACTATACAGAATGAGAACCCAATGGGAGATAAAGTATCTTCATTTTACCCCCGTCTTCCCAGCTGTCTGAATTTAGGTAAATCATATGACCTCTCTGAATCTCTTTCCTCATTAAAAAGGGAGAGTAAAAAATAGTCATCCCTCAAAAGAGTTTTGTCTCTTTCCCTGTGCAGAAAGTGAGTTAAAATAGATAAACTAGCTTTATCAACCATAGAGCAACATACAAATCACGCTAAGGTGAGGCTGGTTTTTATTATCCAAGGTCATAGAGATCATTAAAGGGACCCTGGGAAAGTCAGCCATCATAGACTCTGCTTTTCTTCAGTGACTCCTGTGACCTTGAGCAACCTGGGGAAGAAGTAATTGAGCAGCAGCTACTACTTCGGAGGAAACAGAATCAAAATATTGGAGCTATTGACTCACCCTTCAGGCAGTAAACAGTGCCTTGGTCTCTGACCTTTTTGCATCCCAGGGCAGTCAATAACCTGGCCACTAGATGCAGCGTCTGCCACTGATTTTGATTTGGGAGTAGTTTAACCTTGAACTGAGCTCCAAGTAACCAAGGCAACAGGAAGTCAGCGTCTACATAGAAGGCGTAGGAATCCATAAATCAAGTCCCTAATGCAAACATGGTGTGCAGGTAGAGGTTTGAGGGGATAAGTGGTGTATGAGAAATTACCATTGAAAATGAGTGACTGTCCCTTGATAGGCTACAGCACAGTTTCAAAGACTTTTTTTAACTTATCAATAGAGGTCAACAGGTTACAACAGAATGTTTTCATATAGGTTTAACATTTTTTTTAATTTCCTCTTGGCTCTGTCTTTTAATTATGAACAGATGTTGAATCCACAAAGCTATTAGCATTGTTATTTCCTCCTTTAAAAACGTGCTGCGTGCCAAATATGCAAACCTCAGTGCAATATGGCTTGTGTTGGGGTTTAAGGATATTGCATAAACCTGTAGCAAGGGTGCGCCCCATCGCCTCCTTTCTGAGTTTGGGGCAGTGACACCTACCCAGATCATAGCAACCCTTGCCTTTATTCATGCTCCAGTATAAGCAGTGGTGCTACATCTCAATGGGCCAGTCGACACCAGCGTTTTCTGAATTTCCTTGAAATCCATCAACCTCCAGCCTCTGAAACCCCTTTCTACAAGGAGTGTGAAGCCAAAATCATGCTAGAAAGAGGGTTTCCAATTGTTCTACCTTTTGCCATCATATACCATGGAGCATCAGCTGTCGCTTGGAGTGGAGGCAAATTAAGACTTCCAGAGGCCAACCTGCCCATGCTGTCTCCCAACAAGCAGTCATCACCCCTATCTCAAGAGACCTCTGCTCTCAGATACTGTGGATTAAGTGCTTACAGAGTAGCCTTGGTTTAAAATTCATTGAACATTCTTGCCTATGTTATGTTGTTCCTGGGATTGTTTCCGTTATCCTTTCAAAATCCCAAAGTGACTGATAATATGTCAAAGCTTTTTCTTTTTTTCCATTTGTTTTCAAATTCATTGGATGTCAACCAGCAAGCAGTACTATAATCTAGGAAATCCTAAATTATCTAGGGGTTTCAAGAGAGCTAAAGAGTGACAATTTGAATTATAGAGTGTTTTAAGTACCATTTTATTACTTTTAATGTATTCTGTAACATAAACACTTGAGTAGCAAAGTATGCCCAACAGAGGTATGATCCGATCAACTTTAATGAGATGATGCAGACTGAGACTAATTTGGATTGTGAACATTTGCATGAAAATGGGTACAATTAAAATCACTTGAAATCAATTTCTTCCCAAGTGAGAGTTAAATATCCAACTACTAATCCTGTTTATGGCCTTCATACCCAGAGCATATCATAATTTGAACAAAGAACTATCTGTCCCAACAGTGTCCATCAGTACATAGATAACATATCAGTGAATTTTTTCCAAAAAGCTCTTATCCAATAGAATTCTGATGGCTTACAGTGGACGGAGGGGGTTCTATGGAAAGTACACATGCATCTAGTTTGTGGAATTCTACTGTGGTGGTGCAAAGTAGCAAAATGAGGAATTCAGGGGCCGTCGTTTGGTCAAACAGTTAAGACACCACCACTTGGTACATCTGCATTCCATATCAGACCGCCTAGGTTCAAGTCCTGGTTATGTTTACAATTCCAGCTTCCTGATAATATGCACTCTGGGAGGCAGCAGGTGATGATTTAAATACTTGGCTGTCCACCTTGGAGAGCCAGATTGAGTTTGGACTCCTGATTTCAGTTTAGCTCAATCCCAGCTGTTGCCAGCATTTAGGGAGTGATCCAATGAACGCAAGCTCGCTCTCTCTCTCTCTCTCTCTCTGCCTTTCAAAAATAAAAATAAATAAATATAAATTTTAGTAGGAAATTTTTATCTCTCCATTGTCAGATTTGTTAACAGCCAGTTGTTAAAGCACACCTTTCTATTCTAATAGGTTTCTAGATATTTTCAAAATTTATTTTCTCAATGAAAAAAGATCGATAAATGTTCAGTTTTGAAAATATTAACAGTAAAGAATAATAAGTAGTAAAAAAAGGATTTTCTCTTCCTCACCACTCTTCCCTGAGCTCTCCTTCCTCACCATGACTAATGTTAACTGTTTGAATATATGTCCTTATAGATGAGTCTGTAAGTATTTAAGCATGTTCTATGGCTGGACATAGCCCACTACTGGCATACCTGCCTATTTTACAAATGGGGTGTACTATACACATTAACTCTACATCCTGATTTCTCAATGATTCTGCCTTGCAATCTTTCATAGAACTTGCTTTTTGTCTATACCCACCTTCAAAATGCTATGAACTCAAAATCTAAAAAAAAAAAAAGGCATAAATGATGTTGTTAATCATGGGTCTCAAGCAGTATTCTCAGAGACTGGGATGAAGAGTAGGAGGAAGTCAGTAGATGGTAAATGAAAATGTGAAAATGTCAGCATGACTTTCTCCTTAGGTGATTAGAGGTACCTTTACCAGGTATGGCACTAGGGCTTCTGTATCTTCATCTTGAATCATGCTCATGACAGATTAAGGTAATGGTGAGGTGTGGAATACAGCCAGGTAGACCAAGATGATCCCTGGATTTTCCATCTGATTGCTTGGAAACTTCCACCTCGGACATTGCAAAGCATATGAGTTTATTCGGTTCTCCCTTATGCTCTTAGAGATATTCTCTTTTTCTGTAAAAGCGAGAAAATAATACTACCCGCACTGCATGCTTCCCAGGGTTGTCACAAGTCCCAAGTGAGGCTGATCTCACTGTGGCTATAAGTTAATGCAATGCTGGGCTGGGGGCTGGGGGAAAGTGGAGAAATGGGTACTGGTTGGTTAGGATGGAAAATCCACTGTGATAAGGCCCAATTTGCTGTTGTTGCTGTCAGTGGCATATAGGCTGCCAAAAAAGAAATTCTGAATAGATGACCATTGATATGGATGCAGACACCCTCACTCTCTTCATTTATGCCTGGATAAGCTACAGAGGCATTTTTTTGCAGCCGGGGTTATAGAAGGTGCCTATAAATCCTTGATCATGTCAATAAAGAGAAATTAAACTTTGATTACTGGTTACAGTTGGTTCTGATGAAGCAGTGGGGTACAATAATGATGACAATAGTAATGATAGGAAAAATAACGACAGTATACATTTAAGTAGAATATACCATAGTGCTAGATGATGTTCTCAGAACTTTATATGGATCAGCTCATTGGATGCTCACACAACTCCTGCAAGGTAGTTCTATCACTATCCTATTTGTAAAATAGAGAATTGTAAAAAGTCAAGTTTTGAAGCTTGGGAAGTTAAAGAACTTTCTCTTGATCATGCCTCTGGAAAGTAACATAGCATGGATTCAAACTGAGGGAATAATTTTCCAGAATAGCTAAGCTTTGTAGCATCATAATAATATGAATTATGGTGCACATTATGACTAGGTCCCTAAAGGCCACCAATTCAACTCACTCATAGCCTAGTGACTAATATTACACTGCAGTGCCCACATCCTACATCTGCTTCCAGCAGGCTGGCCTCTTATCCAGATCATGTTCATTCCCCACCCATGACTTAGCATTTGCTCTGTTCAGCACTGAGAATGTCTTTCCCTCAAAACTGCTGCAGGACAAAGCCTTTCCTCACTTCTCCCACACTCATGTCTCTATCTCTGAACTCCTCAAATGGCTAGGATAACACAAGCCCACTCACACTTTCTGCCCAGATTTTCCTTTTTATTTAGTCTCATCACCCCAGCTGGACAAGATACAAAGCCTCACTGGGTTGGGAGGTGCCTCTTCATCCCCTGCATTCCTCATCATGCTGCATAGGGTGCAACCTCCATAAATGTGGGCTTGTTGAGCCTCAGAACGTAGAAGTGTGCCTAATGGATTGCATTGCTTCCATAAGTCTGTGCCCAGTCCAGCACAAACCTGGAATGTCATCACTATTAATATGACCCACCACCAAAACTAGTTGTAGCTCTTTTTTCCCCCTTTCTGTTAATATTCCAAAATTTCATCCTTTTGAAGGTCAAATCGTTTGACTATTTCTTCAGATCACTTTCAGAATTTGTGTTATTTGTCTTTGTGTTCCTTTTAAGTAACTGCAAGCTTTGGTATTATTGCTTTTTAGGGATGCCAAGTCCTCATTTAAAAGTGGACCAGACAGCAGCACACAGTAAGAGCGAGGGCTCAGTGTCCACCATGATGACCAGGAAGAAGCCAGCTGCATTGGACAGTGTTGCAATTCCACCAACCCCAGTGTTATCTCTCCTGGCTGCATCTGCAGCAACCTCAGACACAGGTGGGTACTTTTCAAACACTTTGGATTCCCACAATGAAGATGGGCAAGAAGAAGGTCCCTGGGGAATGCTTTGTTGAATACAGGCAAGAATTCTCTGTTGAGCCAGCCTCCCATAGACACTAAGCATCAGAGCTCTACCACACTGCATTTTCCAAGTGGGAGGAGGTCTAAGATGAGCTGGAACCTGGAGGCAATGGTATTCTCAAAAGCTTGCCAGTGTATTCTAATATTAGTCCATCAAGGATAACAGCAAATGATGAAGTATTAATTAATCTATCACCCCTTGATAAATATTAATCTGCATCAAGGGTTGTCTATACATTATCTGTTGCAACTCATGAAGAACTCTAAAATAAATGCTTATGTCTCAGGGAAGTTAACAGGGAATAAAGTAAAACTTTTGCTAAAAATAAAACTTACCCCAGGAACCTATGGACAGTAAGGAATCCAAAGCCCATTACTATCAGCTACTGCACTTTCCTACCTACCTTGCTCATTGGGGTTAAAGAGTGATCAACATTGAGTTTCCCTGGGGCCTCGATTTATTCTACCCTGTGATTTCATGAATTACTCAGTTGTTCCCAGAGTCTTCACCAGTGCTCAATAAAATATAGCTCCTTATTCAAATATCCCAAGTTCTCCACAACCTGTCCCCTTCTACTTCTACCCATATCTACTCCTCACACTCTTTGCCAGCAAGCCCTTATGTCAACACTGCCTTTGCCAAGCTCACCCCAGCCACCAAGATGGCAAGATGTGGCAGTGGTTTTCCACTAGTGCTTAGAGACAAGCCCCGCTCAATGCCCAATCCTGCCTACAGATTCAGAAGCAACCAGTCACAGATTTTTCAGATACGCATAGCATCCAGTGTCTCGACTTTGAATTTACAGCATTCTTGGAGACCACAATAAAAAATGCCTTCTACTGAACTTATTTGCCCTTGCAACCAAATTTTACATAATGCAGAGGCAGGGTCCATAATTTAGATATTTCCATCTTCATTGCATGCAGAATGATGGCACAATCTGTAAATGTTGAATTAATACATTAATAAATGTGATAAGCACATTGCAGTATATAGAAATGCCTGTTATTGTGAGAAGCCCAAAAAGATACTCATTAATATTCACTCCAAGCTCATCTTCGCAGTCAACTGTTTTAAGCAGAGAACTCAACTTGTCTTCATATTTACCTCCTTCCTGAATCATAGGTAATTAGAAAATGAGCCCAAGTGAAATAACAGAAATTAATTGTTGGAGTGACAGTTCCCAAGTTGAGCTCAGCAAAATTTTAGTAGGTATTTTGTGATTAAAAAAATGTTTCCATCTTTAAATGAGTAGGAATGCTACCTTATATATATCTCCACACTGAAGGGCTGTTCAGAGCCTTTAACTGACCATTGTGCATTATGAGATCCAGTGGGGAGCAGACAGAATTTCACAATCTTATCTAAGTACAAGACTTATTTTCCTGGGACTAGTTCATCGTTATCTCTAGAAAATGATGTTCTTCCCAGTCATTTGGGAAATCTTGCACTGAGAAAATTGGTTCATCTCTGAAATACAATCATGCACCTTCACACCTTTTACACACTTGGTGGAAATGAAAAGTTTTGGGTGGCGATGATGGATAAATAATGTCATCAAGAAGAACAAGAAGTTAAAGGATGGCGAATCACAGAGGAGTGTGGAGTTACGCCTGCAATCTGATGGGAGGGGACTTGGGTAGAGAGTCAGGTGGGCAGGATCCCAGAAGTGGGAACTAGTGCCGTGCCTGGAACTCCAGAAGGACATCACTTCCTGTAGTAAAAGATCTGGGTCATGGTCTGCACTACTCACCCAGATAATTGTTTATTCAACCTCAATAGTTAACCACTAGAGACCTCCCTTTATGGATTCAGAAATTAGCCTGTGTGTTTCTGCCTTTGCTTGCCAAGCACAGATACTTCCCACAGGCAAAAGACAGGTGGTCGCCCATTTATTTCCTTGCACTCTTTCCTGTCACTGTGAAAGAGACCATTCTTGGGATCACATGCTAGTATAGCCTTGCTTCCTCCATTTGTGTCCAGCAAGTGATTTATAAATTTGCCAAGTGGGTGGTAGAAACAATTGAGTATTCAACTTTTAAACCTGCATCTCTGGTGATCAGAGCAAAGGCAAAACTCTTGTTTCAGGATGCGAGAGTGGGCTGTTTATTTTTGGCAGTGCTAAAATGAGACCCTCAAGAGAACTGGGGAGATCTGGTCTCTTTCCGGGTTTTAGACAGCTAAGCAAAAAAAATTTTTTGGGGGGTGGGGGGGACAGTCCAGAGATCTACCCCAGGTGCTAGAGGCCAGACCTTCCTGAGATTTCAATCCCCACAGATAAAACGACTTCCCACAAACCAGAGAGAGAGACACACACAGGCTGGGCTCGCATCCAACACTTTGTTTCACATGTGAAGAAACTGGTGCCTCCTGAGATTCAGAAATTTGCCTGAGATCATTCAATTGGATTGGAACCTAAATTTCATAATTTCCCCTCTGCTTTCCAGTGGAATCCCACTTCTGTCATAGGTCCAATGTGAGCAAAGGCAGATTTATTTCTCTCTGACAATGGACTCCTATTTCTTTTGGAGACCAACGAATGTAATCCATAGTTTGATGGATGGATGACTTTAACAAGCACATAGTAGGTAGTTCATTGTTTCTGGACATGATTTTATTTAGTAGGATGTTTATGCAGGAGTCAAATATATTTCTGATGAGACAATTCACTTGATTTTTGTTGTCTTTATAGTGCTTTTATCCATTTTACACTGTGAGAAAGATAACTTAGAATGATATCTTGTTGTGTACAGAAATCAACTTATTTTCTAATAAGTTTCATTTCTATTGAATGGATTTGGAGACCCAGACAACTTTAGGGGATGGGAGTAAAAAAAAAGAGTTAATTCAATGATGTATAAAACAAAAATAATTAACAAAACCACATATTGCAGTGAGAATAATAAAATAATTCAATCTATTAGATTATATATATATATGCCTGCAGTCAGGCATTTGTCTAATGGATAAGACACTAGTTATATTGTTTGCATCTTAGGTCAGAGTATCTGGAGTCAGTACCAGATTCTGGCTCCTGATTTCAGCTTCCTAATCATACAGATCTTGGGAGGCAGCTGTGATGGCTCAACTGATTGGGTTTGTACCACCCATGTGGGAGACCTGGATTCAGTTCCTGGCTCCTAGCTTTGGCCCCTGGCAATTATGAGTATTTGAGGAGTGGAGAAGCAAATGAGAACATACACTCTCTCTGTGTATCTGTTTCTATTTCTCAAGTAAACAAATGTATTTTAAAGGAATGGTGCTAAGGTATATAGTACAATTCTTCACACTTAGAAGATGCTCAATAAACACTGACAAAATGAGTGATTGATAGGCAATACCTCAGCACTTACACAGTACTGAATATGATGAAAGATGTCTGAGAAGAATCTGCTTGTTCTTGGAAACACTCAACAATCAAGTGGAAAAAAGGGAATAGGCACATTGCAGAATGTGTAAATTGGTACAGATTTTCCAAATAGTTGATCAGTTTGTAGTCATAACAGTGCTATTTTAAAGAGGTGATCTTTGGTAAACATTTTTTTTAATTTCCCAACTTATTTTATAAACATTACAATATGATTCAAAATACTGTGGTCAAAGTTTAAAAATGCATCTTTTCGTATACTCATGCTCATGAACAAGGGAACCCCAACATTTTAGTTTAAGGTGATCTGTCAGTTTCTTAGAGTCTGAGAGGCATGCTGATTAAGAATTTATTGATTTATGGGGAGAGGCAGTCCGGAAGATGCAGGAGCTAGTGGACAGCTGAGAACATGTCAGTGTGTGAGCCACTTGGAGGGAGGGAGGGAGGGCTGGCAGTGGACACCACCAGTGCTCAAACAGGTCAGCCTTCGTGATCAAACTGCTCAATAGCTATTGATCTGCTACAGTCCCCTGGCACAGCAAAGAAGGTCTGCTTCAAGGGAGCACTGCATGATTATTGTGAGTAATTAGGGCTAATGCAGTAAAAGCTTCAATAAAGTTTGTTCAAAGTGGTGCATAATTTGAAACACCTCCTATTACACTAGCCCAAGAATGATTTAATAACCATATCAGATAATCCATAACTGAAGGAGTCAGGCCAGCATTTCTAGTCTTCTACCTTTTGAGCTAACTTCTTAGGGGAATCATGCAAATTTATTGAGCATTCATGATTTCACTCCTAAAACATGTGTTCTCTCTTTATATTTAAGGCGAGATTAGATGAATAACTGATTCCAAACTGAGGTAAGAACTCAGAAAAAGGCCAGGAAAGCAAAATCTCTATGGTTCTGTACCTGAAAGTCTAGACTAGATATGATAGAAAATCAAATAGATATAGTTTCCCTCTCTCTCTCTTTCTTTCTCTCTCTCTCTCACACACACACACATACACCAGTATCACTAATATTTTCTCATCTTAAGTCCAAGGAGAAAAAAATGCACGTATCAGGGACACTATCACTGAATCTTAACTGCTGAAGGCCTAGCTCTGCTACAGATAACACAGACAAGCATGTGGGCACAGTTCTTAGTTTCTATCTGTTTCATATCAAGGCTAATCCATTACTCTCAAACTCTATAATCTGCCTAGCTTTTTAAAAATGCCAGCACACTTGAGTAAGTGAAAATATTTAAATGACACTAGTCTCTTAAAACTCTAGGCCTTTTTCTTCTCATGGCAGAAAATGTTATTAGATAAACCATTTACTTATTAGCCAAACTATCAACCCAATCAAAGTTGACTACGTCTGTAATCAAGATGCAAAACCTTAAGCTTGAAAACTTGATTACCTTTATAAATGATAGTATAAAGTCTTTTTCTTAGATTTATTTATTTACTTGAAGGCAGAGTTACAGAGAAGGAGAGGCATATACACATATGTGTTTGCACGCACACACACACACACAGAATTTTCCATCCAGCGGTGCA